GTCCAATTTATGAATCTCTCAGTGGGTTAATTCACCAATAAAATCAGAACATTCATTATTCAATCACTTTCCCAGGGCCCCACTTCAAATTCTGCAGCAGTGGGGCCAAGTCTTTAACTCATGAGCCTTTAGGGGACAATCCAGATACAAACCATAACACAAGGGAACTTCTTCCACCTGCTACAGAGCATCTACAGAAAATCTATAGCTAACATCATATTTAATACTGAGAGACTGAATTATTTTTGCCTGAGATTAGGAAGAAGATATTTTTATCAGTATGACTCAATATCATACTGGAAATCCTAGTTAGCATAACAAGGCAAGAACAAGAAATTTTTTTAAACATACAAATTGGAAAGAAGAAAATAAATTATCTTTATTCACAAAGAACACAATTTTCTAGGAAGAACATCCTAAGGGATTCACTACAAAAACCTAGAGAAAATAATTGAGCTTAGTAAGATCACAGGTTACCAAGTCAATGCACAAACATCAATCATATTTCTAATATTAGATATGTAAAGCAAAAAATAAAAAAATACATACCATTCACAACAGTCTAAAAAATAACTAAATATAAATTTAACAAAATAAGCATAGGATCATATGCCAAAAACAAGAAAATGCTGATGAATGAATTCAAATTTGGCCTAAATAAATAGACATACAATGTTCATGGATTGGATGTTTTAGTATAGTACAAATGTCCATATTTCTTATATTGATCTACAGTGTTAATGTAATTTCTATCAAATTACCAGATATTTTGTAAGATAATTTTGTTATAGACAGAATTTAGATGAGCTAATTCTAAAATTTGTGTGAAAAGGCAAAGGAACTAAAATAATCTAAAGAATTTTTTATGTAGTATTGACTCACACTGTCTGATTTTAATACCTACCACAAAGCTAGAATAATCAAGACATGGTGTGACAAAGGAAAGTAAGTGAATAATTGTTTTGACAAAGATGTCAAAAATATTCATAGGAGGATAGTCATTTTAGCACATTGTGTTGGAATAACTGAACATCTATGTGCTGAAAAATAATAACAACTTCAACTTATACTTTGTACCATATAAAACTTAACTCAAATGTATTATAGATCTAAGAATAAAATGTGAAATCACAAAACATATAAGACCTATGCAAAGATATTTGAGACCTGAAATTGTGAAAAGAATTCTTGTATATGACACCAAAAGTATGTTTTTTAAAAATACTGAAATTGACCATCTTCAAAATTAAGAACTTTTAGTCTGCAAATGACAGTTAAAATGATGAAAAGACAAACTTAAAACCTGAGAGAAAATATTTTGAAATCATACACTTACAAAGAACCCATATTCCAGAGTACACAAAGGAAGAAACCCAAAGTAAGGAAAGAAACACAATTTTTAAGCAGGCAAAAGATTACAAGTACCTTTCACCAAAGAAGATTTATGGATGTCACAAAATGTTCAGCATTGCTAACCATTAGGGAAAGGCAAATAAAAATCTTAGTGAAATGCCACTATACACCCACTAGAATGACTAAGATAAAGTTTTAAAGTACTAAAAATACAAAACGGGAGTAACTAGAACTCTCCAATAAGCTAGAACTCTCCAACCTTGCTGTTGGCAATGTAAAATGATGTGGCCACTCTAGAAAACCATTTGGCAGTTTCTTATAAAAGTTAAACACACAACTACTATTGGGCCTAGCAATCCATTTCAAGCTTTTTACCTTAGAAAACTGAAAATGAAAGTTCATAAACCTGAACAAAATCAGCTGCTTCATTTGTAATTGCCAAAAACCGGAAACAACCTAAATGTTCTTCAGTAGGTAAATGGGTAAACTATGGCAGAATGGAATACCACTTGGCAATTCAAATAAAGAAAAAGAAGAACAAATTAGCAATACACATAACTAGAGTTAATCTTAAGGCATTAAGTGAAAGAAGCCAATCTCAAAAAGATTACATACGGGCTGGGGTTGTGGCTCAGCGGTAGAGCGCTTGCCTAGTATGTGCAGGTCCTTGGGTTCAATCTTCAGCACCACATAAAAATAAAATAAAGATACTGTGTCTATCTACAACTAAAAAAAATAATAATTTTTTTTTTACAAAAAGATTACATACTATACAATTCAATCACATGAAAACACAAAACCATCTTGATGGAGAACAGGCAAGAGGGTTCCAGGGCTTAGAGGGGAAGGAAGAATGTGACTACATATGCTGGTTTGAAGGAGCACTGTTTTGATAGTAGTGATTACATAAGCTCATTTATGTGTTGAAATCAGTATAAATGCACACACACAAAAAGTTGATTTTACTATAAAATAATTTTAAATACTTTTTAAAATTTATTTATTTGTTCTAATTAGTTATACATGACAGCAGAATACATTTCGATTCACTGTGCATAAATGGAGCATAATTTTTCATTTCTCTGGTTGTACACAAAATAGAGTCACACCATTTGTGTCATCATACATGGTACATAGGATAATGACATCCATCTCATTCCATCATCTTTCCTACCCCCATGTCCCCTCTCTTCCTCTCCCTCTCCTTTGTGGTATCCAGAGTTTCTCCATTCCTTTCATGCCCCCCACCATTATGGATCAGCATCCACTTATCAGAGAGAACATTCAGTATTTGTTTTTTTTTCGGGATTGGTTAACTTCAGTTAGTATAATATTCTCCAACTCCATCCATTTACCTGCAAATGCCATGATTTTATTCTCTTTTAATGCTGTGTAATATTCCATTGTATATATATATATACCACAGTCTCTTTATCCATTCATCTATTGAAGGACATCCAAGTTGACTTGTGCTGCTATAAATATTGATGTGGCTAAATAAACATTTTTAAAGGAATATAACTGATGAGACAGGCAAACTATCAACTCAAAACAAAGAATGCTCTCCCTGTTCTCATGCTTGCAAATAGGCTGCAAGGTTCATTCAGGTGAGCCACCACCACAAACCAAGACATTCTGGGGCAGGTCTCTGCCTCTTTTTGGAGAATCCAACTGATGTCTCTAATACAAGATGGTTCAACTGTCATTTTTTTTAATATATACACTTTACAATGCTGTCAAAGACACACACACACAGACACACACACACACACACACACACACTCAGTAGAAACTGTATGTGGAATTTCAGATTGGGATGTTTTTTCTGGGCTAGCAATATGCAGTACAATACCCTCTGGAATGCCAGAAGTAGCAATGAGCCACACTCTGGGTCAGCCACACTACCAGAAGGGGAAACCACCATATTCCACAGTGTGCTGTGTTGCTCAGCGACAGCGTTTGGTAGGTTAGGCACATGAAACATATTTTCAACCTAAGGTATTCTCAATTTCTAATAGGTTTACTGGGGCATAACCCCATCATAAATAGAGGAGCCTTTATATTGGAAGAATGTCAGTGAATAAATTAATTAGAAAGTGATTCTTGTCATTAGAGAAGGATTCTTTGCCTACCAAAAGGTTGCCTTTGTGTAAGGAACATTTATGGCTTGGATCTGGAACATCCCCCAAATGCCCATGTGTTGAAAGCATGGTCCCCAATGCAGCAAGGTTGGCCTTTTAGCCAATGATTGGATCATGAGGGCTCAGATCACCCTCTGACCTCATCTAATGGATTAACCCATTGAGAGCTGGATGGACTACTGGAATTGGACAGAATTGGAGACAATAAGTCACTGGAAACAGGTCCTGGAAGAGTATATTTTGTTCCAACCTCCTCTTCTTCCTCCTCCTTCTCCTTTTCTACCTCCTCCTCCTCCTTATCTTTCTCCTTCTTTCTCTTTCCCCCTCCCTCTCCTTCCTTCTCTCTCTACCCTCCTTCCCCCTCCCCCTCCCCCTTTCTGACTGCCCTGAGCTGAACAGCATTCCTCAGTCACTCCCTTCCACCATGATGTTCTGCCTCACCTCAGACCTAGAGTAATAGACCAGCCAACCATGGACTGAATCCTCTGAAATTATGATTCAAAGTAAATCTTTCCTCCTCTGAGTTATTCTTGTCAGAGTGATAAAAAGCCAAAGCAAAGAGATAACGCAGGACTCTCCGCCCCCCCCCTTGAGAATATAAGACTGCAAACTTAAATGCCGAAGAAATAAAAACCTAAAACAAAGAGAACTACTAATTACTGAAGTAAAATGATGCTGTTCACAGTCCTAAAATCAGTAGGTAAAGCCATGAGAAAATTGGATAAAATTTGCCAGTACTTGTGGTATATTATGAAAATTTTAGTTGAGTCATTGCTTACAAGGTGCATTAAACAGGTGCTTGACCTAACAAACTACAAGCCTGTGATGGAAAATCACCAGCCTAGGCCTGAATTACCTTCTCTGCAAAATACAGAGAGCAGAGTGGAGTGAGCCCAGCCATCCATCACTCTCTTCCATTCAGTCTCTTTCCTTCATGCTTATTCCCAGAGAGCAAATCTCACAAACTTGTGTCAATACTTTGCAGAGTACTTCCAGGTCTCTGTCCAGAAGACTCTATGTCATTTAATTCTCTTGTCACACCATGAAGTAGCTACTTGTGTCATTTCAGGATGATTTGGGCTTCAAGGAACAGAATAACCAACAAAGAGGGGGTTCAATTTTCTCACATATAATATGGGTGGTTAATGGCTCATCTTAGCAGTCCTAGGATGTCAGAACCCCAGAGAGGTGTCTCCACGTGCTCTTGGTCTCACTAGTAAAAATGTGGCTGCCAACATGACAGCATAAGCGGGGGAATACTTCTAACCCACTGACTCACATCAGGAAGGAGATAGGGAGGGCTAGGGATGCACTTCCATAGTATAGCACCTGTCCTAGCATGCCTGAGGCCCTGAGGTTGATCACCAGCACCAAAGAGAAAGAGAGAGAGAGAGAGAGAGAGAGAGATGGTTTTAGCCAAAGCTCTCTTGTAAAGGGGGTAAGGGGTAAGGGGGAGTCTTTCCCAGAACTACTGTAGAACTGACCACATATTCATTTCTGGACCAGGAACAAGCCCCGACTCCCAAGAGATCATGAAAAGTGATACCTGAGTCACACTGACATTCTGTTGGCAAAGAAGAAAGAGGCAAAACACAGTGCATCTGCCGTGGTGCTGCTATTTCCTCCTCTGGGCAGCTAAGCCAATTGTAGCTCATAAAGGATAAGTGATTGGCCCAAGGTCACTCTGCTGGGTAAGTGCTGGAGCCAGGACTCAAACCCAGGGCTGACTGCCAAGGCTGAATCTCAACATGATGGTGACTCTGTGGAATGAGGTTGATGGCCAGATCCATTCCTTCACCCCCAGAGGGGGAAGCCAAAGACGACAGTGCTCCCAATCCCTAGGGAAGCACCTGGAGTGAGAGCCACCCCATCGGTTAGCGTCCAGGGCAGCCTGCATTTTCTTCCCTGCCTGTAGGAAACCCTCTTCTTGTGGTTCCACCTTTCTTGGCTCCTCCCACTTGGCTTCAGTTTTCCTTATTGGCCAAGTTTTAGAAGTTTTCAAGAGGAACAGAACTGTTAAGAAAATTTGGCTAAAAATTTATTCCACACTGGCTCCCTCCCTGAGCCAACCACTCTGGGCCACTTCCTTGGCCCTGTCCTATTTATCTCCTTCTGGTTTCCCCAGGCACCCTGACACCCACAATAACTCCAAAAGTACCACGTAGGATTCTACTGCCAACATACCCTCCCCTGAAGTGACAGCTACAAACTATATTTCAATGAGAAAATTAGTTGGCAGTTAAGAAATTTTCTCCCTTTCTGTGCGTTCCTAGTGGGCCTTGAAAATAGGAAGAACCAAATATCAATGTCACTACCAGTGGCCAGCACTCAGGTCGACATCAGAACGTCCTCTGGGACCAGGAGATGAGCAAAGCTGAACCTCTTAGGTTGGCCAGGTAGGGACCAGGCAGTCGATCCCATTCATGAGCAAGTTCCAGATGAAGACTCGTTGTGCTTCTCCTCTGGGCCATTCCCCAAGAGGGTGGAGTTGGAGCTCTAAAAAGTGAGAGAAGTAGTCTGTGGTGTGGGCATGGACGGATGTGCCGATGCTCTGGTCATCTTACTTAACACACTGCTTGCACCTCTGTCCCTTTCAGGAGGCCTTTTGGGGAAAGAGCCCCTTCTTGTGTCTAAGGGATGTTTTCTCAGATCCAAAAGAATTTCTGCAACATTATTGAGTGGGAGGGACCCTGCTGGCAGAGAGGAGGGATTAGCAAATCCTTGGATTAGCTGAGCAATAAAGATATACTGCCACAGGTCTTTTCATTTGGAACTCAGTCTTGGTCAATATCAACATCTTCCTGCAAGTCGATAAATCCCAGTATCAACCGCGGTGGGAGTGTCAATGCCTGCTGCCGGCAACTTAGTTTATGGTGAATCGAGACCTCAGACAAGGCTTTAAATTTGCTGATGCCTTTTTTCTGTGGGTTTTGTCGCGGCTCACCCAGCCAGATCGATTTGGATGCGTCGTGCTGGGGAAGGGGAAAAGGTTTGTGGCTCTTGGAGTATTAGCGAGTTCATTTCACGCTGATGCTGTGACACACAGGCCAGGGGAAGGTTTATGGGAGCCGCATTCATCAAGCCAGCTGGTCGCCCACGACATCCCTGGGGCACGGAGCAGAGAGACAGAGGGGGAGGGGCTGGTGGCTGGCACTTCTAGGGAGAAATCTAGCTTTCCTTGGCAGGGGGCAGGCAGTGGCTTGGAGGCTCAGATGGCTCCCTCGGGACTGCTGTGGGATGTTCTCACAGCCTGCAGAGAGCAGCCAGATGTGGGCAGTGGCCTAGTTCACTGCAGCCTTCAGGAGCTATTTGATACTAAGGCCATTTCCCTTCCCAGAGAGTTTACAGCCGATGGATGGACTACAAAGGTAGCCCTCATTCTCCATTCCTCCCACAGCACTTGCACTGTGGCTTGGTACTCCCATCCATCCAGGGGTCTTTTTTTTTTTATTGGTTGTTCACAACATTACAAAGCTCTTGACATATCATATTTCATACTTTAGATTAAAGTGGGTTATGAACTCCCAAATTTTACCCCAAATGCAGATTGCAGAATCACGTCGGATACACATCCACAATTTTACATAATGCCCTATTAGTAATTGTTGTATTCTGCTACCTTTCCTATCCCCTACTATCCCCCTCCCCCTCCCTCCCCACATCTTCTCTCTACCCCATCTACTGTAATTCATTTCTCTCCTTGTTTATTTTCCCATTCCCCTCACAATCTCTTATATGTAATTTTGTATAGCAATGAGGGTCTCCCTTCATTTCCATGCAATTTCCCTTTTCTCTCCCTTTCCCTCCCATCTCATGTCTCTGTTTAATGTTAATCTTTTCTTCCTGCTCTTCCTCCCTGCTCTGTTCTTAGTTGCTCTCATTATATCAAAGAAGACATTTGGTATTTGTTTTTAGGGATTGACTAGATCCAGGGGTCTTGTCTGTTCCCTGTTCTTGGATCCATCTTGTCACTTTGACCCATGGAACAGGAGTGGCAGCAGGTCAGTTCCAAGCCAAGGCCTCGAGACTTTTGTCTACCTCTTCCTCTCCTGCCTTGCCTCCATTATGAGAACCAATTCAACTCATCATCTGGAGGATGAGCCCCCAGGTAGAGCACAGTCCAGTGGCTCTGATGAGATCATTCTAAACCCATCAGCCTCTGGCCGACCTGCCAGCTGACCATGATACATGAACAACCTCAGCCGGACCCAGCTGAGCCCATCCCACATCAGCAAAACTGGCCAGTGGGTCCATAACCACAATAATGGTTACTGTTTTAAGTCCGTGAGATTTAGGGAATATTGTTATGCCAATAGACCATGGATACTGGTTTTATCAGACTTTTTTCAACCTGAGCAATATCCAGGGGAAATCACCCCAGGCCCTGAACTTTGGGGTTCCTGATTTATAGGACCAAAATTCTACCAGCAAGAACTTAAAACCTGAAGCTTATATACTGTACACCTGCAAAATAATTTGTTTAAAGAAATCTAGTCCATCCTTTCCCCCCAAAACCGACTGCCATCAAATAAAGTCGCTGCTGCCACTTACTCTTGCCCAATTTAGGGGCAAAGGTCATGATAGCCAAGACAACCACCCACCTTTAGCTCCAGGACTGTGGACAATACTTCTTTTCCTGTGATAGATGGGAATGCTCATCTGGCCTCCACCTTCCCATGCTGCATGCATCAATGAACTGTTTGGCAGGGGTCATCCATTCCAGGCTAAAAAAAAAAAATGTAACTGTAACTGCATTAATTTTCTCTCACTATTGTAACAAATCACCATGAACTCAGTGGCTTAAACAAAGTAAATGTATTCTCTAACTCTTCCACAGGTCAGACTTCTGACATAAGTTCACTGGGATAAAATCAGCATCATGAGAGCTGGGTTCACTTCTGGAGGACCCAGGAGAGAATCTTTGTCTTTCCAGCTTTTAGAGGCCACCTACATCCCTTGGCCCATTGGTCCGTGATGTCTTCCACCATCTTCAGAGTCTACAACAGTGAATCAAGCCCCTTCCAGATCACAACACTCTGACTCACTCTCCTGCCTCCCTTTAAGACTTTTGGAACTCAGGTGATTAAATTGGACCCAATTGGGTAATCTAAATCTCTCCACTCAGAGTCCTTCATTTTAGTCACATCTGCAAAATCCCGTTTGCTTTGTAGAGTAACATTCACAAGGTCCAGGATTTGGGCATGGATATCTTTGGGTGGGTGGGAGGTGCATTACCCTTAGTACCATAATGTCACTGTAGTTTTGTATGACAAGGATGGAGAGACAAGAAGCTGTTCTTTTTCTTGTATATCCCATGGAATTGATGAGCCCACACCTAAGAGTCTATAAAATGATCTATGTTGAAATAAGGTTGGAAATGAACCAGGGTTCAACAGCATCCCGTAATTCTTCCACAAAGTTACAGGGTGTCCCTGAGAGGTGGTCTCACTACTAAGGAAGCAGGATTTATGCCAACCCAAGGGAAGCACCTTAAGATGCATGCCCTACACAGAGCTTCCAGAAGCTGGTGATAACCCTGGTGGCAATTTCAGGAACCTCATCAGACTCTGCAAACAGTAATTTTCTTTCTTCATTTACCCTTGAGCCAAGTCTTGAAGAGGAGCAGAAATGGGTCTAAAGAGGTTATGCCTTGCAAGTCTTTGCATACTACAGTATTTTGCAAAACAGACACCTAACAAAATGATTGTTTGATTTTTTTAAAAAGTAAAAAAAAAAAGACCTACAGATGAAATATGATGGAGGTTCAGAGTAGGCAAAGATGGGAAGGATAGAGTAGATATGAAGAGGAAGAAAACCATCTCAGAAGACCTTCTGAAAGAATTTAAGGAAGTATAATATAATTTTAAGTGCTAAATTTTAAAGCCAAAACAGACAGTTTTTTCTGCAAAGGAGCAGAAAGTAAATATTTTAGGCTTTGCTGTTTATACAATCTCTTTTCCTCTATTGTGATGCAAAGTAGCCATAGACAATATGTGTGTTATAAGCATGGTTATGTTCCAATAAAACTTTATTTATAAAAATGGACAGTGGACCAAATTTGACCCACAGGCTAAAGTTTACTGTCCCTGTTTCAGGCTAGACATCCAATGAAAGTTAGCATTATCATGAAAGGAATTATATAAGATATAATGCTTTATTAAGCTCTGATAAATGGACCAAAATTGAATATGCAGGAAAAAACTATAAAGAAGAATGTAAAAATAACAGTTTTCTGAGATTTTTGAGGAGAATAGTCTCTCAAGAATTTCAAACAGAGAATTTTGGATGGGAGAAATGCTCAAAACAGAACTAGTTTGAGAAAACTTATTTTATGGAGCACTTTACTAGCTAAGTAAAGAAACTGAGATTTAGACAATGGGAATTGGGGAGCCACTGATAGATTTTTAGCTGGAAAATGATGGAATATTTTAAATATTTTCAAATCACTAAGGTTAAGAATTGGTCTCTGGAACACTAATGAAAATGAAGATGAGCTTAGAAGATGGAAAGATCTCCCATGTTCTTGGATAGGCAGAATTAATATTGTCAAAAAGGCCACACTGCCAAAAGCACTATACAGATTCAATGCAATTGCTATTAAAATTCCAATGACATTCTTCATAGAAATGGAAAAGGCAGTTATGAAATTCACTTAGAAAAATAAAAGGACCAGAATAGACAAAGCAGCCCT